TTCTAGACAAAAGCAGACGGTTCAGAGACTGACATCCAGGACTTTTGAACTACTTGGGATTCACATTTTTCTGTACCAGCTCCCAGTCAAGCGATCACAGGGTAGTTCCCTTTTAAATATATTTATGAACTTGCAGAAGTGATTATTTTTCTGTTGATATCTTCAATTATTAATTTCCAGCTTTCTGCAGAGAAATCAAAGAAAGTGAAATAAATTTTTAAAAAAGGAAACAAAACCCACCCCAAACCAGCAGGCTTTACTGCTGTATAATACACAGAAAAGCTGCTAACAAAGCGACAATCACAAATGGTCTCGGCCAGAAAAAAGAATTATCAAGTGCCTCAAAACTTGATCTCAGAGGCTCCCCAAACGCAAAGGAAGGAGACACGGTACAAGTCCTTCCCTAATAAAACACGGACAGACCCGCTGCTCTTAACATTGCTGACACACAACTTCCCACGACCCAGGATCTCTGCCTGTGATGGCCCACGGTGCAGCCGCCGTCCCAGCCCCCAAAGGATGAGGCGTGATTGCCTCCACTGTCCCAAAAGGCTGAGGCACTGCAGTCATGTTCAGACACGTTTTTTCAGGAATTTTTTTCAGATGTTTTCAGCATGTTTTACAGGATGTCACTGCAGAGAAGTTATCAGCAGAAATGCTATTCAGGACTTGGTTCTCGGCATCCCTCCTCATACTGGGGTCACCGCAGCCTAATCCCAGATAATAACCTGAGAGCTGACCCCTACTGAAATCTTGCCCAGAAAGTGGTCACCCCACAAGACGAGGTTAGTGCTTGCTAAGTGGTCCGAGTGCCCGGCGTGGGGCTGTTCCCAGAAGGCGAAGTCTCTGATATCGGAGGCAGTCACAGCTGAAGGCTGGCTGGCTCTGCCGTTCCAGGCGCAGCGGTCCCTTGCATCCCGGGCTGCAGCAGGCATCTCACGCTCAAGACGGAGCAGACGGCAGCATCGCTCAGCAACTGCACACGAGCAACAGCCCCTCCACAGTCGCCTTGTGCCCGTGGGGGCAGAGAACCACCCCTTGCCAGTGGCTCAGGAGCGTCCGGAGCAGGGGGCCTGAGGCCCCACTGATGGCTGCATCCCTTTGGATGCAGAAGAATTTCCTCTTCTCCAGATAAGCTTGGCTGGAGCCCTAACAGGCTGCTGGTTGGTTGCAGCAAAAAGCTGAGCAGAAGACAAATCAACTTCATATCTTAAGCAAAACAGGAGGGAAAAATCAAACTTTACACCTCAGAGCCTTCATGTTCAGTGAAAACAAGAAATGAAATGGGCTCATGAAAGACTAATTGCCCAGTTTGATTTATGCATGAGCCCCAGCATTCCGAGCACACGCAGTTACAGCTTGTTTTCAAAGAGACCAATTATTTCATTAAAACCTCATCTTCACACTTCCAGATTTGCTCTAACAAGTCTTTTCCTCTTCATCCTTCTGGCTTAGTATTTTGCCATTTTTTTGGTTTAAGATCAAAGAAGAGAGCCAAATGAAAACATTCTTTGCAATATGTGTAATTTACTAACAGCTATTAAAACCTGGGATTTAGGGTTCATCCTTCCCCTCCATGAAGTACAGGAATACTGCAGGCCTTGGAGCACCTTGGTGCAAGACCCACGACAGCTCAGGCAGGCCCTGTACAGGACGCTCTTGCAGGTACAAGGACAGCAGCTGAGGGTTTGAAACAAGCCTGTGCCTGGGAACTTGAAGGGCAAGACCAGGAAGCAATAGGGATGAAAGCTTCCCCCAATTGTGTAATCTTGCCTCTAATATTTCACTGTCTGTACGATACCCAAGGAGGCTACGTAAGACATCTAGTTTGCACACAGCAGACACTAAAAGCTGGGTGATGGGGTGGGGGGGGAAGGGTGGAAGCGGGGAAGGGAAAATAACTAAAGGACCCTCAAAAAATACTCAAAAGGATGCCCACAGAGATTTCTTCCAGACAAGCACCATAAATAAAGCGTAATTGAATAAAATATTATCATCAGAAAATAGAGTTCACAGTGAGCATCTGACTGCAGCATAAATCTTCGTTACAAATAGAGCTGTTTGAGCAATCAAATCCCTCTGACGAAGCAGAAAGCAGAAGCCTCTGTGCCTGCCTGTGCGGGAATGGAGTGCTGCAGTCTTGGCACTCGGCAGAGAGATGCTATCAGGGGTTGCCATGGAAACCGGAGGATGCAGACCCAGCAGCTTTGACTTTGCATAAACTGACAGCGAGTTCAGCTGGGGACGAGACACCGAGAACGCTGGTGGTTTCCTCCAGCTCCAGGCGGCAACGCGATGGAGCTGTACTTGAAGCTTTCCCAGTCCAGTCTCCTATTTCCACCGCCCACCCCCACATGCACCCCCCCGCCTTGCCTCCTCCTGCCTCCCAGCTTAGACAACGCACACAAGGGTCATCTGCCTCTCCTATCACTCCCACCCAGCTTCCTCCGCGCTGAGCTGCCGTGTGGCCGATTTCGAGCATTTCTGAGTTTTCCAGACAGGAGTATTCTCAGGAAGCAGAGATCAGTTTTTTTAATTCAAGTTCCTTTCATTGCAGAGGGAGCCCTGATCCCATCTCCCTTGACAAACCTGGAGAGAGCAGGAAACACTGCAGGATATGCACAGATCTAGAAAGGATCACTTCAGAGTGTGCTGGAATTTGTTTTTTCTGTAAACAGCATAGATTCAGAGGGAACCTGACACGCAAGAGTCCAACACCAGGTGAATTCCCACCACTTTTGCCAACGTTCTTACCTTGTTATCTCACTGTATCTCCAACAGGGTAAGTGCCGTGGTTTGGAGAAATGAAATCCCCCTTGTCTCTCAAAACCCTGAAGGGATGCACATCTCATTTATAAAGTCCCTTTAGGATACATTTCTACTGTTCATTTATTTATACACACCTTAAGGCAGCATTATTCACTCCTAAATGTTACATATGTGAGTTCCAATGCAATCTTAAACTCGGGTGCAGCCTTCCCATCACATTTTCCTGTTCTTGCACCACTGAAGCCAAGCACCTACTGTCCCAGAACCATAACACGGGTTTTTCTTGGGTGAAATGGCATCCCAAAGCCAGGCATTAAGCCCTCTGGAAAATAATTCTCATAAAACTTATGAGAGGTACACCTCCTGTTCGGCGACATGCTAGCGCTCCAGCTGTGGTTTACCACCCCTTCTCGCGCGGGCGACTTCCCTATCACATTTAAACTCACTTCTTTCATGCTATTTGCAAGTGAGAAGGACTTAAGGCCAGTTTGTTTGACAGGATGGCAGCTGTCACTCCACGTAAACAGACCCCGAAATGAAAGAGCAATCCAGCACATGGAAGTAGAAAGTCCTGACACTTTAATTATCTGAAGAGATTACAAGATGAAAGTCTTCCTTGAGGCAAATGTATATTAGTATTGATATAGTCATTGTGCTTTTCAGTAAGAGAAATAGGAGTCTCTATTTACATACGAAACTATAGTGTCTGAGATCTTTAAATATCATATTTATGGAAATGATTCTGAATTACAGCATTTACAAAATAAAAACAAGCTTGAATAAATATTCAGTCCATTAAATAAGATTTTTTTTCCCCACAGAAGCAACTTTTTGTGCATTTTAATTTCACAAATGAAGTTTGTTGTATTTTTTTATCCTACAAAAGAAGCATTCAATTTGTTGTGTGGTTTTTTTTTTTTTCTAAAAATAAAACTGCAATAGTCATTGCAACATGAAGCCTGAGATTTAAGCCTGAATAAGTATCATTGCTTCCACCACAGGACCCACCTCCCACGCCCATGCCTTTCCAAACTCTGGTGAATGCTGACACTCCAACTCAAGGATTCCATGGGAAGGATTTCAAGGAAATAATAATAAAAATAGAAATAAGGTGAGGATAACTCATCATAGCTGACATTGTCCACAAACAGCATCGTAAGGCTTGTGCATTACACGTGACTAAGTGAAGCTGTTCCATTGGATGCTGAACGACTGTAGTGCCAAACCGTTGTAACCTATATGGCTCATTAACACAATATTAAACCACGTTACAAAGGGAATGTGCCCCTGAAAAGTCAGTTAAAAGAAAAAAAAGTCAACACTGGCCAGTTTTGCTTTATCAGTTTGAGTGATGGCCTCTCTTGAGCATGATGCCACAAACAACTTCCTCATCCTCTTTTGTATTTATCACTTGGAAACACAGTGTGCAACACTGCGAGTCAGGAAAGGGGATACAGCAAAGAGCTCTTGATCTCGTTTCCTCTGTAACCGCAGCACACACTGCCTTGCTTTTCATGTGGCTAACTCAAAGCATGTCCAAACGCCTTTGAAACCTCAGTGCTTGGGGAGCTCTTACTGCAAACGGTTTGTGTGAGATCAGAGCATGAATCCGTGTGAGTCTTATTTCTTTCCTCTCTGAGTGGAGATAAAAATTAATCCCCAGTGCTTCAAATAAAGACAAATGTCTTCTGAGCTGTTAGCATGAGTGAAGTAAGAGTATGCAGTATTTTACACAGTTACTCTGCCAAATGTGGACAACAAGTACCCTTCTGTGGTTGGCCATTCTACAGTACATCTTGAATAGATCATTACACATTCCCCTTTCAAAAAACGCTTTAAAAACTCAATATGGGAGAAATAATGTGTCGCTTCTGCTGAATTTTGCTGCTAAACTCTTTCAAAAATATGTATTTTAGTATTAATTTATTCATTTGGTAATAATTTCCTCTGAAGTTTGTTAAGTTTTAAATGCTGATATAGAAACCAAAGCTCTGTGTTATATTTCTATTAACAGGATTTCACCTAAATGATGCAGATTATAAATACTTCCAAAGCTCCAAAGTAGGGAACTGGAAGTTATAAAACTTAACTTTTAGAAGACAACTTGGAGTTATTGCTCTGCTCAGTAAATGAAAGGCAACGGAAATATACTGCTTAAGGACCCTCAGTGCTTCCTGTGTGATTCAAAGAAAATTTGGCCTTTGTAAATATCGAATACGGATCTGAAATAGTTTTGCTTTAATTCATCCTAGCACAGGTAGCAAAAATCTATAACAGGAAATTTAAACGGCAGCAGGAGGGAGAGCGTTGACATCCACAGCCATGCTGGTATTCTAGTGAGCACAGAAGTGTCCGAGCTTTGGGACTGATTTGCTGGGATGGACTAGCTGACCGGCTACTCTGTTCCTAGCGTGCACGATAAGCAGCGATGCTTGTTCAATTCTCTGAGCCCTATTTCCTTCCACACAGTGCATTTGTTCTGCATATGGCATCGTAACATTAATGTTATAAATTTATGGAAGACTGTACTGTAGCCTTAGCGGTACAGACGCTTCATACTTCCCTTTAGCAGCTTAGTAAAATGCAATAAAAACTGTCTGTACAAAATTTATAATAATGGATGTCCTAGTCCATATGCCCTCACGGGGTCCCTCTTTCACGTTAATTCTTGGCTGAGGTCAAATCTATCAGTCCGTGTAAGACTCCAGAAGACACATCAGTAGCTCAGAATGTCAGACACCAGCTTTGTCACTATAGAAAGGAGTGACATGGAACATGTAACAGTGAGTGCAAACACGGACAGGCTTCATCTGACCATAACGAGGTAATGGAGCAGAGTGGGAAGAACAGCGGGAACAGAAGATCTGAAAAACAAGGAGGGAGATTTCAGCTTTAGTTCCTTTGAAGAACCATGTGGAACAAATCTGGTTTCAAGAAAGGGGAGAGAAGATTGTACACACTGGGCTTTTGTCCCTCGGCAACACCACCCTGCTCAGCACAGCAAGCGAGAGCTCCCCACAGGCAATTCCTAGCCCGATGGCCAATTAATCTGGCTGTGCTTAGCGTCCGTGACACGGGTGTCCAAGCACCAAGGTTGGCCAAGGCAGACCTGTCTCTGCAGGTCACAAGGGAGGGCAGCTCCACCAGAGATGAAAAGCAGCATCTCTCTCCATTGGTTTCAAAGACAGACTAGGGAAATATTTGTGAGTATCTCCAAAGCTCCTGCAAGTCCACTATAACGATACCTAAACCAGCTTCTCTACCCTCCTCCTTTTTAACTTGTACACCAGCAAGCAAGCGAAATAGGATTGCAGATTCCTGGCTTCCTGAGGCACATGACTGCTTTATTCTCCCCTGCTCGCTCTTCTGCAAAGCGGCAGCTCTACACACCACAGTCCTCCTGCACAGGTTTAGAGAGTAAGCAGAGGGACACGGTGTCCCTGCAGCTGAGCTGCGCATCGCCCCTCGCCGCGCAGGCTGCTGCCGTGTGTTAAAGCAATAGTCCAGAGTGGTTCTGGATTCGGGGAGTTGGTTCCAGCATTTCAACAGGGCGTTCTGCTTATCAGCAGCCAGATACTTATTGCTGCGTACAAGTCCAAACCCTCTCTGCCACTTTCTAGACTTAAGCTGAGCAGTTGACAGCCAAGACACACAGAAACGCTCATGACTTGAAAACCCTGGCCAAGCATCTGCATTTTGCTGTGCAGTTGAGTTTCTGTGGTACGGATAAATTTGCTGTCCTCTCCCCTGGGTAGTTTCTCACGTTTGACGGAGTCCTTACCTTGCCACAGCTCCGACAGTGGTGTTTCCGGCGAATGACTGTGAAAGGAGCCTTGCACGCAGTGCAGTAGCTGCAGACTTCATCTGGAACCCAGTCAGGAGGATCTGTCAGAAACACAGCAACAAAAGGGAACATAAATCACAAGGGAATGAAAACAAACATGTGATTACCAGATCCTCAAGGGAGTAGGGAGAACAAAATATAACAGCAGCTGCTTTCATCCGAGTTCCTCAAGATGCTTTGCGACCAGGCAGCTGGGTGAGTTCAGGATGCCCAAGGGGGCTCAGCTCCCCACTTCTCTGCCAGGCGCCCACCTCTGGGGCAGAGCAAGCAGGCACTGAAATGGCGCACGACAGCTCTGGACTTGAAATGAGATATGTGAAAGTGGCAAGGAAAAGGAGATTGGCAAAGTAAGAAGACAAGAGATTTAAAGCAGAGCTGGAGCACAGGTGGTTTTGTCAATGCACCCAGCCATCAAAACAAGCTGAGCAGAGATCATTCCCAGCCTCTTCAGCCCTCCCTGCAGAAAGGCTGACTGCTGCTCTGCCACTAGGTAAGCAACTCTACAGATAATAAACTTGGAGCCCGATTACTGTTTGGTAAGCTATTAGGCCTCTTACTGGAAGTCACCAGTAACTACAACAAAACCACAAAATCAAGTGCATGAGACTTAGCAGACAAACAATTCAACTATTACCCCTAAGAGCAGGCTGCAGTTCTTTGTTTCTCCTGTGAGATCTCTAACCTCTCATAAAAGCCAAGCAGGGAAATGATTTGGTTTTGGGCAAGAAGAGAGTATTAGGCTCACTTCTGTTGAGCTGCTCCTGCTAGTGACAGGCTGACATGACTTCAGAGAGCCTAAAATAACAAGTGCAGAGATAATGTAGCCGACTGCTTAATTAAGCTGTTAAAAATCTAACAAAGGGCAAAGCAAGTTCTATCCAGAAGGAACCTACGGACACAGTGAACATGAACTGCTGGATGCATTTACTCAAGTTCCCTGCACACATCTCCTCTCCAAATATTATTTACAGTACGCAACCCCTGCAATTGCTGATTTACAAACCTGTGAAGCAAGATCCCTGTCTCAAAGAGCATATTATCAAACAGCAAAATAGATGCTGCAGTTAATGTGAAGGTCGAGAGGGCTACAGGTAAAGGCAGAAAGAAGATAATTAAATGAAAAATCCAGTGTTTTTGTTCAAATATAACCCTGACCAGTTTTCATGTGTTTGTCACATTGCAATATTTGTCAAATTGAAAGTAAAAAGAAGATAGCATTCAATGCAGAAAATATTCAAAAAGCAGATTAATAAAAACAAAAGAGAGCTTCAAATCTTGACTCAGCTTTTACAGGCTCCTCCACAGTATTTTGGAAGTTAAACGACTTTAAGGAAACAATCTTTCACTTAATGAACAAACTGGTCTGATAAAGGGCACAACTATAGGGACAGCAACCAAAACCCAACATCTGTGCACTGAGAAATGACCAATGTGGTGGAAAAAAAAAAAAAGGAGATTACACATAGAAGCCTTCACCTCATCCCTGGAACAGTTCACCAGGATGTGCTCTGTGGGGACACAAGGCTACAAAATCCAGCTTCAGAGGCAGGCTTTCCTATGGCAGCAAGGAGATGCAGGACAGCCAGCTTAAGTGGAAGCATTAATAGCAAAGAAACCAAGGGATTTTCCTTTTCAATTCTTTTCCTTCTCTGCAACCTCTACAGCTACCACATGTAACTTGCCCAGTGACGCTTACTCCTAATGTGATTCCAATTTTCATAGAATTGCAGAATCTCAGGATGGTTTGGGTTGGAAGGGACCCTCAAGATCATCTAGTTCCAACCCCCCTGCCATGGGCAGGGACACCTTCCACTAGACCAGGTTGCTCAAAGCCTCATCCAGCCTGGCCTTGAACACTTCCAGGGATGGGGCATCCACAGCTTCTCTGGGCAACCTGTTCCAGTGCCTCACCACCCTCTCCATGAAGAACTTCTTCCTGAGATCAAAAACTTGTGAGAACTTTCTATCGCTTACGCAGGAATCTCTGATCTGAAACCATGGCAAGCCTGCTGACCTTGAAGCATCTCCATGTTCTCCATCCAGCAAGTCCCTTATCACATACATTCCAAAGTAGCTGAGCCAATATGGATATCCTTGTTTCAAACTTGCCATTAGACTACACAGCCTCAATTATGTTTTCAGGGATTTAACTATTTAACCGTTGATTCTCACTAGAGTTAGACAGCAAAATTTAGGAAGTTATTCAAGCTCTGGGCTATGAGGTCTCCCACCCAAGTGAACACAGAGATGGTGGAAGCAGGCTTGGCAAGATGCCTACTTTCCTACAGATGCTTTATCAACTGCATGATAATGTGGGCTACCATGTTCAGCTAGTTACTAGTTTTAATATTCACAGAAAATCCACAAAACACAGGCTTTGTTCGTACAAACCGCAACACGCCAACATGAACTGCAACTTCCACAGCAGCCAGTACCATAACCCCTCCCTTCCCTTGGATCTTGATTAGTCCAGACACGTTATAAGCTAAGTAAAACACCACAAAAACTCTGGAGCTCATCCACAGAAAGCAGGTTTTCTTATCAGGTGTTTACCACTTGGGTTTTGGTTTGTTTGTCTTTTTCTGTTCTTGTCCTTGAAGTGCGATGTTGAAAAAATAATTTTTTAATTGACCTTGTATGGATTTGTCTCCAGTGCTAAATAAAAAGAAAACTTGCAAAAAAAACCCCCACCCATGAGAAATAGCAAATTTATTTGATAAATAATGACCTTATAAACTCATAACAGTCATATAGTCCATGGTTACAGAATTTCTTGACTGCCAGATGAATTCATCTGCAAACTTTGTTTTTATAATTGCATAAAAAATACAAACTCACATGTTAGTGGGACTCAATGTATAGAAACAGTATAACCCTCCCTACAGAACGTTCTCCCACATTAGTGGGTCTCTCTTTACCTCCACATTAGTGTCATGTCAGCTGATTCACACAGTTCGCACATCAGCAGACTGAGCTCAAGGGCACATTTTCCCCCAGACAGACTCCAGGACAGTAAAGCCCTTGGAGAGGGCTATGCGGCCAGCCCCGTGCCCCTCTGTTCCTGGGCTGCAGTGCCCTCCTAACAACCCCACTGTGCATGGTGTGCTCAGCTGCACTGCAGCACACCCCCAAATAGTAACACTTACTTATGTAACGGCTTTTAGCATTCAAAATGCTGTACAAACATTAATTGCTTTAATCCTCATCACCCAGCTACAGTCAGTAAATCTGTGTGGGAAGAAATCAGGAGAGAAATGTCTTGCCCAACACCATGCGGTTGTGCAGTCCCGCAGTAACATCTGAAATGAGAAACTTAGGGCCATTTGCCCTATGCCTTTGGCTCCAGTTGTGAGGGAGAAAGCCCTTGCACTGAGTACACACACAGGGGCTTCATTTTGAGAGGATGCACTTGCTGAGAAATTAAACCCAACCCTGGATTAGAGCTGAAGAGCTCACATGGGCAGGAATGATGAAACCCTGAACGATTTGGTCTCTCCAAGCCCACACAACCCCAGTGGCAACGGGATCACACCCCTAAGTCCCCTCACAAGCCTCATCTTGCTCAACCTCAGGAGCAGCCTTTCTGACTTACGTATTGAGTCATCAGCCTTTTTATAGAACAGGTTTGTGAAATATTCACTGCAGAGCAGTCTCATGAGGGGATGAAGCCTCCATCTGAGGAGCAGAGCGAGTTATACAAATGAAACCCCCAGCATTACCCTGAAGATGTGCTGGAAGCAGGGCAGCAGTACTGCACCCGCAGGCTTTTTATGTTACAGACCTTCTCTGGGCTACGCTGCTCCATTAGCTCTGCACGCAGCAGCAAATGGAAACATCCAGCCTCTGAAGCACTATCTGCCTGTGCTTTGGGGATTTGTACAAGGAATGGAGGGAAAAACTTGTTCGTGGGCTAATTGGCCCACTGCTTTATCATGCAATGAGAGCGCAGAGAAGTCAGTAGGGAAATGGATGAAGACCACAGCACTGACATCAAAGAGGAGGAGGAAGGGAGGGAAGGGATTAAGGAGACAAAGGCTACAGAAGTATTTTAGAAGAAAATATTAAAAGCATGTAGACAAAAAAGGCAGAGAAAGGAAAAGAAAAAAGTATTTAAACAGATAAGAAACATGTTTAGAGAAAGGAAAAGGCACAGGATAAAATTAAATAGTGTGAAGACAGAAAAAGGCATTTAAAAAGGAGGAACAGTATTCCCAACTCTCAACCATTCAAAAATCTTGCAGTACGATCTCTCATAATTCATGACATTTTATGGTCTTTTTATTCATTTATGCTCTAGCTTCTAGAATTCACCTTTACATGTCTATGCAACCTCATTAGCGAAAAAAGCTTTCTGCTCTTCAAGTTAAAAATCTCACATAAATCCAAGATGCTGGAGCTTTAAGAAAACCATCATTATGATAAAAAAATAATCAGAGACTGTAAACTGCCAAAAAAGCACATGTGAATTAATTTTGCTTAAATATGTGCAACTGACCTACTGCAGACCCATCTAATCTTACAAAGCCAAGGAGAACATCTCTGTGTCCCAGAACTCAAGAGGAAGAGAGCCTGGATCCGGATCCATCAACATTGTTGACTAAAACAACATTAGACCAGAAAAGCTAAAGTTCATTCAGGGGTGCCAAGACACAAGAGACTGGGGAAACAAGAGACTGAGGGAAACAATCCCAGAAGTTATTGGAGCTTGCAGAAAGGCTAATCTCGCAAATCTATACATTATGGTATATATATGCCTACATTATGCTGGAAAGCAAATCAGAAAACATGCACATCATGACTCCCTGTAGAAGAGCAGCTACTAAAACCCTGAGGCTTGCGGTGGTGGTTGCATTATGGCCAGACAACTCACAGAAGACCCTTTCTGCATCTTTTGCTTTTACATTTTACATTTGTTTTATGTAATGCTAATGCTGAACTCAAAGTTCCTCCTGCACTCATGTATTTGATTTCAGAGCACATCACGCATAACCCTGATCGTACTTCTGCCAAGCTCACCTTAAGAGGGCTGTTCCTACAGCAG